CAAATTCTAGGGCTGCTTTGTTCTTTGTAGAGATGATTTTTTGACATGGAATAGAGAAGTTACACAGAACTCAGCTCTAAGAAGTGTCTGGTTTTCTATTTTTATTATTTTTTCTAAAGACTAAGTTCATCCTGGCCTTGCAAAAAATTTTTACTTGCTGAGAAATTGCTGTGTATTTATTAAACTGCCTTTTGCAAATAAGAGTTGTCTGAGAATCCTTGCAGTATTTGGACTGTTAGTTTAAGCATGAACTTCTGTGATGTAAAGAGCAGCGAGGCTAAATACAGGTGAGTTTCTCTGTTTATGCGCCTTATTGATAAACCCTTTGCAAGAAGACTTTAGATTTGGTGTGGTGGAATGTGCAGCCCCCTTTATCCTGCAGATAACTATGGTAAGTATCAACTTAATTTCTGCTTCAAGAAGAAATTTGCTTAAACATCTTCTAGGTACTATTTTTACTGTAACTTCTGTCTTTCTGAACAATGTGATCTCTAAAGCAGAGGCCTTCACAAGTGATGAAATGTCATTCTTCTAGCCTCTGGGAATCTGTCCTGGCAGAGATACTAACTTACTTTCCGCTAGGGTTATGGGGAACATGCATCTCATGTGCCTTTAGATTCATAATGGAGTGCTTTCTCTAGGCTGTTGGAATATTTTTTTTCGGGGAGGTGCTAGCTGCATTTCTTGAAGAATTTTGCTTGCCTTATATATTTGTAAGACTTCATATGCCGTATGGTGAAATGTCAGAAAAGAGAAATGCTTTCCCTCACACAAATGTAGAAACACCATCTTTCGAAGCTTGTTTAGAAGTGGGCAAAAGTTTGCTATTCATATTGGAAGGTATGTGCTAGGTATTGGAAGAATGGTGAAAATACTACAGTCAGTCAGCCATTACTTACTCTGTTGGTTCAGCTGGTGGTACTGAGCCCTTCTGCTGCAGAAACTCTAAAGCCTGACTTGTCTGTTCTGTTAAGTCTAAAGTTAAGTTGCACAGGGTTTATAAATGCAAAAGCATTTATCTGGCATTTTTGGCTATGTATAGTAGATAACAACCATGATGCTATGGGCAAGGCCTTAGAGGAAGGGTTTGAGAGGAGCTCTGAGTGACTTCCTCAGCAAAGCTGCTGCTCATCTGTGTGTTCACACTTGGATATTGCCACTTGGGGTAGGAGGGCTGCAACTCTTTACCATGTATTCTGCACTTAAGGTGTACAGTAAAAAAATGTCGGTATGACAATGAGCAATCCCAATTTAAAGTGACTGCCTGTTGTCTTGGACTGGTATAATGTTATGTCAAGTAAAAGCACGTTGTTCTTCTCAAACTGTCAGCTATAAATATTCAGCCCATCTTAGCTATCCAAGCGGAGACAGTTGTTGCGTTTCTTTGTTCTTTTTTCTTTCTCTGCTGAGTCCACACAACTACAGCTCTGAGTTGAGGGTAGTAAAGGGCAAGTGTTTCTCCCCCTTGGGTGGTGTGTGTGACCTTTACTTCTCATACAAGGGCAGCATGTTCTTTAGGGGATACATGCGGGCTTTAGACTAAATGTTGCCCAGGCTGCTACAAGCAAGGAAGTTTTTACTAAGTTGCAAGAGCAATCTTGTTATGACTGCAGGAAACTTGCAAAAGGGTATAAAAGCAAAGGAGAATTTATTAGTTAATCCTTTAATTCCAATGTAGGTCTGTCAGTAGCTAGTTTAAGCCATTCACAGGACCCATAAGGGACTTCAGATCAGTTGCTGTGATAAGGGGTTCTAGTTTTCTAGCCTTTTGAAGAACTCGGTTCCAGTAATACTCCCTTTCTTCCCCCTTTCCTTCCCTCCCTGAAGGTCATCACATTCCAGTTTCCTAGATGAAAGGATATTACCAGAATCATTGCACAACTCTGCGAGAACAATTGGCAGGGTGGTGTCTGAGCCGGCCTTTTTTGCGTGGTCTTAAAAATGAAGCTGCGTACTGCCAAGAAAGCCAGCTGCTGGAGGATTGCTGCAGTCCTGGCAGACTTTCTAGGCCTACAGTTGAGCAGATGTGGACAGAGCTCTGAGCTTCAGATGATGTTTGGACTGGGAAGGGGTTTTTGAGGTCCTGTCTGAATGCTCAAGCACTGTTTGGGTACAAGTGGGATTAGCAGTGGTACCTAGTCACTGCTGTCTCCAGGCACTGCTTGTTTTGTCCTTGTGGTCCCAGGAAACATGGTAGTAGCAATTAACAGCCCTCTGGTTAACTACTAGTGTGTACCAGTGGGGCTGAACCAGCAAATGTTAGGAGAGCTGAACACTGAGTGTACGCTTGTTGCATAATATTGCAAACCATATTCAATTAACACATAGCATCACTCTTCAAGTGCAGGATTTAATAGTGGAATGGGAGACTAAATATGTTGAAGTGCAGAGGAGTGTGGTTGCACAGAATGCAGGGAGAAAGGAAAGCAAAGGACAAGGAACCTGTGCCCAATTCTTGTTTGATTCCTGGTGCTTTGCTTCACCACAACTACAGTTCTCTTCAGAAGATGGTAATGGCATGTGGTGGGTAGTGAGAAGACACCACTGAATATGTTTTCAAGTTCTTGGAAATATTGTTGGTAGCCATCATGACAAGTTTTTAGAGAGGTGATAGTTTCATTAAATTGACTGATGGTTCTGGAGCAAAGTAAAAGCTGACAGGCTTTTGAGACCCACAAACCTGAAGAAGGCAAGTGTCTTCCAAATCTGTCAATTGCTGTAGTAGGTAATTATTTCTCTGTAGAGAACTGAAAGACTTGCACATGAAACTTGTTTACATCTCAAAGCGCTCTTCAATCTGTAAGGACAAATCTAGAATCATAAACTCTTTTTATGGGGAAGAGTTTAAGGAAGACTGTGAAGCGGTTGCCAACTACAAATTAAGGTTGCTCTTTAATCTTTAGCCTGGAAGGCTCCCAACTTTGGAAAAGGGTGTGAATGTGTAGAGGGGAAAACTATAAAGGTACTGAAGTTCCTTCTGCTTGAAGCACTGTAAACTCCATGCTTTATGGGAGCATGGAGAGAATGTATGTATGGGAGAAGCTGCGTTCGTGGTCATGGGAGAGGGGCTGATCAAAGCAGTGGTACCCAGCTGTGTACGTTACCTTACTACTCTCATAGTGGTGAAATTTCATGTGTATTTTGATGGGGTTGTACATTACTGACCTGAAATGTTGTCAGAAGTTGTGCATTTCTGTATAGGAGACATGTGGATGCAGCTTTCTCAGAAGGTATCATAGTTGTTTTTTTCTGCATGTAGATTGCTCTGAACACTTGCATATTTATAGATTGTCTCAATGTTAGAAATGCAAGTAGTGGCTTTTGGCCCACTATCCGTAGTATCTTGCAATAGGCCTGTTTCTTTTTATTTTGTTGTTGGTTTTTTTTTTTTTTTCCCCTTTGCAGTCTGGGTTATTTAAAATAACCAACTAATTGGTCTGAAAACACAAGAGAAAGCTGGGTCTCCACTAGAGGACCTCATCTGATGTGAGCCAATTAAAAAATAAGTTTCATAAGCACAAGATGCCTTTGTGTTTTACTGAAATCTTACTGCTTTTGGGCAAAGAGGAATTAAACTTCTGCAGAAACTCGGGGGGGGGGGAGATTAAGAAATAATGCTCTTAATGGAGGAGAAGAGATGTCTTAAATGGCAGTGAGTGCTGTTAAAAATACTAGCTCCTACCCACTAATAATAGGCCAAGTTTTGCAAACTTAACAGGTTTTATCCTTTTTTCTCATGCTTTGCCTTTGATGGGATTTTGCCTTTGATTGCATGGTTGTGGGTGGAATGTCTGATGCTCTTGGCTACAAAAATTGTATAGGTTCTTACAGTTATATTTGTTCTGGCCTGGAGCAGAGCCATATGGGTGTTGGATGTTTCTTTGAGACCTGGTGTTCCTTTTGGTTAATCACCTTACGTTATCTACAACTTTAAAAGAAGACGATTAATATCTAGCAGCCGACTTCACTATGTGGCATAGATCCACGCTGCTGTAGATTCAATGCTTCAGTATATGAATCACCCACCTGGTGAAGGTAGTGTTTGGATAATCAATTATCCAGAAATGTAGTCTGTGGACCAGAGACAAGTAATTATAAATGTTACTTATTATAGTCTCATCAATGGCATAGTGCTTAATCTTTTAAGCACATTAGAGTATTAGTTGATCAGAAATGCATTATCATCCGCTTAGGTGAGATGATGTGGATCTTTTTCTGGGCAACATGGAAACATAATACACTGTGTTAGGCTAGAATTTAATTAACTGATAAATAGGTTGTCCTATGGCTGTCTGAATAGCTGGAATATTTAAATTATGCTAGCTGTCTAGTGTCCTGTGTACCAATTTTGACAAATGTCAAAAAAAATCCATACAGAATTGGCTGAATACATGATAAATTGGCTGCTGCTGCATGTGCAAAGTGAGCTGGATTATCAGAAGTAATATGTTTAATTTAAACCCAGCTCATTTTAACTGAAAAAGGTTAGGGAGCAGCCACATGATCAGTTCAGCAAACAGATCTAAGGAGGAAGGTAGTAATTTCCATTAATACAGGCAACCAGGATAAAACACAGTGAACAGCCCCAGCTGATTCAGTAGGTTTCCATTACTTATTCAAAGTGTAAGCAAACTCCTCAAGATGCAGTTACCAATGAATTTTGAGCAAATTTTGAATCTTGTTTAAAAGCAGGTAACTGCCTTGTTTTGCTGGGTACCTCTTGATTAAAAACCTGACATGGAAAAACTAGGGAGTGCTTGGACTTGATGGCTGTGCTTGTCTTAGTCCATTCAGCTACAGCCTTGTCAGAAGAGGAGTGATTAGTCTTGATTACATGAGGGAGAGGAAACTGCGAATTCTAGTTTGCAATTAATTTTAACACTTCCGTAAGCACAAGCGGCACATTCACAGTTTGTACTTTAGCTAGAGGTCTTGTGTTGCAGTTATGCATGTGACTTATGACTACTGTGTTCGCAGTCTTATCTTAATTGCTTTTCTAGGGAAAGCACGTGTGCAGCAGCTAGCAGAGAACACGAGATATTTCAGGAGACGACTGAAAGAGATGGGCTTTATCATCTATGGAAATGAAGATTCCCCTGTTGTGCCTCTGATGCTGTACATGCCAGCAAAAATTGGGTAGGTTTAACAGGATAACTTCTCATCTATCTTTAAAGCTAGGATGGTACAAGAATATTAAGAGTTCCCTAAATGTAAGAAAAGACTGGTTTGATTTTTTGCTTTTATGATCATTACTGAGTCTTACAAAACATGGAAACTTCCTATAAGTGGTCTTGAGAAAATCGAGGCTTGTAGCTTGAGGCAGCAAGCAAGCACTTCAGGGAAGCAATTTCACCACTACATGCCATGTTTTAAAAATTGGGCGGTTTTTTTTTTCATTTTATTTATATGTAAAGTGTATATATGTGCTAAAGAGAAGCTGAAATTGAATGGAAATTAAGATTAAAAGTCACTGGAGGAATCTTTCAACCAGCTCCTAGATCAGAAGCAGCCAACATTTCCACAGATAAACTCTGAAAATTAAAAAAAGAAAAAACAGAGGGGCAGGACATGACAGGACACAACAACCTGTATTTGGTGAATCCTGAGTTTTTTTAAGAGGTCTGGATTTAATACCTCAGGTATTGTTATTGTAAATACTAATAAAACTTCAACATAGCTTTATAAATGCTTATGGACTTGTGGGCTGCTGTGTGGATAATTAAGGCTAAAATTCTGCAAGCAGGATATAATGTATATATTAAAAATCTTTGCAACATAAACAAAAGCCTGATTTCAAGGACAACTTGACTTTGGTAGCTGCTTTTCAGTGTCCTGTGTATAATGCAGGGCTCAACCAACACTTTTAAATCTGGAAAGCAGAGCTTCATTTAAGCTGTACTGAACATCTCTAGTGCTCTTCTAGCTCAGTTAGGCTTCAGTCTGGCTAAGCACTGTGGTTCTGTGAGGGAACAACCATCATCTAGCACTCTGCATGAAGCTAGATACAGTCTTCCTCCACCCTTCTCAGTATAACCTAATTTAATTTAAAAGGCCTGTAACCTTTATAGCTGCTGTAGAGTCTGCAGTGTGTGCCGTCCAGCACAGAGAGGCATACTGTCTCTACCGCTCAGCTGCTCTACTAGTCATTACAATCTTTTCCCTGGAAATTTTTATTAGCTGAGCAGTTGGGCCAGTAACTTACTTAAAAAAGAGCAAGAACACAGAGCTCTGATGAGAGTTGGCCCTTAGGATCTACATTGGGTCTACTTCATCCTCTCTTTGTCTCTTGTAGTCTCTTTTTTTAAATATTTTGAGAGTACTAAATGGATACAAAATGAAGTGTATCAGGACGCACCTATTTATAAGGAAAATAGTTGTAGCAGAAGTAAAAGTCAGAAAAATTAAAAACCTTGTAAAAGGATGTTACTTTTACACATCCTTATAAGCCTCTTAAGTTCATTGCTACTTCTCAAGACAAGGTCAGTTCAAAAAGGATTAACCATTTCCTATGGCCTGTAGAAACACCCACAATTGCACTGTCATTACGGAAAGGATCTAGATCTTCGTGCCTCTCGTCGCATAAGTCACAGCTGCTAATTTCTTTAATCATAGAATCATTTAGGTTGGAAAAGACCTTTAAGATCATGGAGTTCAACCATCAACCCAACACCACCATGTCCACTAAACTATGTCCTGAATTGCCATGTCTATGTGTTTTTTGAATACCTCCAGGGATGGTGACTCCACCACTTCCCTGGGCAGCCCGTTCCAATGCCTGACAACCCTTCTCAGTAGAGAAATTTTTTCTAATATCCAGTCTAAACCTCCCATGGTGCAACTTGAGGCCATTTTCTGTCGTCCTATTGCTTTTTTACTTGGGAGAAGAGACCAACACCCACCTCGCTACAACCTCCTTTCAGGTAGTTGTAGAAAGCGACAAGGTCTCCCCTCAGCCTCCTTTTCTCCAGACTAAACAACCCCAGTTCCCTCAGCCGCTTCTCATAAGACTTGTGCTCCAGGCCCCTCACCAACTTGGTTGCCCTTCTCTGGACACGCTCCAGCACCTCAGTATCTTTCCTGTATTGAGGGGCCCAAAACTGAACACAGTACTTGAGGTGCGGCCTCACCAGTGCTGAGTACGGGGGGATGATCACCTCCCTGCTCCTGCTGGCCACACTATTTCTGATACAGGTCAGGATGCCGTTGGCCTTCTTGGCCACCTGGGCACACTGCTGGCTCACGTTCAGCTGGCTGTCAACCAGCACCCCCAGGTCTTTTTCTGCCAGGCAGCTTTCCAGCCACTCTTCCCCAAGCCTGTAGCGCTGCGTGGGGTTGTTGTGACCCAAGTGCAGGACCCGGCACTTGGCCTTATTGAACCTCATACAGTTGGCCTTGGCCCATCGATCCAGCCTGTCCAGATCCCTCTGTAGAGCCTTCCTACCCTTGAGCAGATCAACCTTCCCTCCCAACTTGGTGTCATCCACAAACTTACTGAGGGTGCACTCAATCCCCTCATCCAGGTCATTGATAAAGATATTAAAGAGAACTGGCCCCAAAACTGAGCCCTGGGGAACACCACTTGTGACCGGCCGCCAGCTGGATTTAACTCCGTTCACCGCAAGAATTTGTTTTGTTGAAGATACTGTGTGACAGTTTTAAGAGGTCTTTGCATTTTCCTTAAAAATATTTGTTATCAGATTAGATGATCTCAATTTATTGTGGCAATTCAATGGTTCCCATGATAGGCACTTAAGTGGTACATTCTGTGACACCATAATGTACTTTAATTGAATTAAATTGGTGAAAACAAACTCTTGAAACTGCAGAAGCATCTGCTTTGGAGGATTGCAGCATGGGGGATTCCTTGTATAGCCAAACTTCTGAGCCAAAATCCCTGTTTCTTATCGGAAAGATTTCCAAGCTTAGGTTACAAATCCATTTAGAAATAGTCTGCTAAAAGACCAGCCTTTGCCACATACCATCTTTCAGCTTTGTTAGAAGTTAATACAGTGAAACCTTTTGAGGAGGACCACCTTGGGATTGAGTTAAAAAAAAGGGTTTTGTGAACAGGTATTCTGCCTCTAAAAAAGCACTGGAAGCTCCAGATTGTGGTCTTACAGGCTTGCTTCAACAAAAGCCTGTATGGGTTAACATAACCTTCATGCTGCTTTGCTGCCACTGATACAATTCTGACGATCTTTCTTGTTCTCTCTGGCAGTGCATTTGGGCGTGAGATGCTGAAGCGGAATATTGGTGTTGTGGTTGTGGGCTTCCCTGCCACCCCCATCATTGAGTCCAGAGCCAGATTCTGTTTGTCTGCAGCTCATACCAAAGAGATGCTTGATACAGTAAGTGTCTCGTCTTGTCTTCCTTTTGCTCATGCCTTCTATACATCAAGGTACAACAATTGTCTATTATTTGTAGACTGGTTCAATGTTTGGTATACAAACTAGTTGAACCTAATGTTCAGAGCCTTGTGTAGTAGAGCTGGCAATGACTCCATCTCTCTTTCCTTGCTTCAACAATGCAGAATGGCTGCCTACAATAAATCTCAGGGACTTTCTTTTCCTATTTTAAATGATGTGAGAGAGACAGTCTCATTCCTTTGAGATAATGCTTCTTCCTCTCTTAAGAGGCTCTACCTTCCACTGAACCTTTTAGAAGGAAAAAATTCTGCTGCTTCTGACCCTAGATGCAGAAGGTAAGCAAGAAAAAGCCTGAGAACCTTCAAAACACCTGTGTTCTCAAAAGCAAGTGCAAACCTCAGCACATGATTACCAGTGAGAATTTTTATTCCAAAGATTACTATTCCAGTTCTTGTTTACAGCTTCAGAGCACTGTATCTTAAATGATCCTGTCCTAAATGAGTCTGTGCCAAGTGCAATGCCTTACGACTCCTGCCTGCAGTAAGTGTGTTCCAGCAGGAATAGAGGTCCACTGGAAGGATGCCTGCATCACAGTTGGGAGATGCTGCCTTAAAAATTAAGGATGGAAGTTACTCTGTGACTAATATAGTTGAAAGGGATTATATTAATAAGCCTGACTATCCTCAGTATGTTTTGGTGTGGTAACTACACTCATTTTTGAGTCTTCTGAATAACCTTCTTTGATGAACATGTACATGGGCTGTCTTAGGCTCTGTCAAAGTTCTCCATTGTACATTTTTCCCCACTTTGCTGTTCTGTGGCTCAGAACCTAAGCTAGGTTGAGTCATGACCTTGGACTTCAGGAGAGTAGACTCTGTCCTGTTCAGAGACCTGCTTGGAAGAATCCCGTAGGATATGATCCCAAAGAAAGGTGTCCAGCTGGTTGATTCCCCCACCCCACCACCACCGCCCCCGAAGAGTGGTCCATCCTGACTTACAGGAGACCAAATGTATTGGAAAGCCTGCATGGATGAACAAACCAACAAAAACATAAAACGGAAGCACATAAGAGATGCAGGCAGGGACAGGTGACCCAGGAGAAATAGAGACAATCCTGAGCATGCAGGGATGGGGTCAGGAAAGCCAAAGCCCACCTGGAGTTGAATCTGTCAAAGGACATGAAATGCAGTAGGCAGGGTTTTTATGGGGATATTAGTAGCAAAAAGAAGAGTAGAGAAAATGTGGGGCTGCTGCTGAATGGCATAGGGATCAGGTGAGAAATGACATGCAAGAGGCCAGGGTACTCAGTGCTTTTTGTTGCCTCAGTCTTTACTGATGAGATTTGCCTTCAGGAATCCTGGGCCCATGAGATCAGTAGAAAAATATGGAGCAATGAAGACTTACCCTTGGTGTGAAGGAGGATCAAATAAGGGAACATTTAAACAAACTGGACATACACAAGTCCATGGGATCTGATGGGATGCACCCACAAGTGTTGAGGGAGCTGGCTGTCATTGCAAGGCCACTCTTGATTATCATCTTTGGAAGGTCGTGGTGATAGGGGGAGGTTCCTGAGGACTGGAAGAAAGCAAATGTCACCCTTCAAGAAGGGCAAGAAGTGTGATCTGAGGAACTGCAGATTGAGAAGCCTCACCTTGATCCTTGGGAAAATGATGGAGGAAAGAATCCTTGAAACTATTTTCAAACATTTTGTGGACAAGAAGGTGATTGGGAATAGTCATCATGGAGTAATGAAGGGGAAATCATGCCCAGTGTCCAGATATGATCAGGTGGTAATACTTCAATATATGAACAGCAAATGGGACATATAAACAGATATTTACAAATATCTTGTCAAGAAAAAAAAAACGATTCAAACTTTCAAACTTCACTGCCACAGAACTTTCAAATCAACAGCTGAAAATGGCTCTTTTTTATTTCAGTTTTTTTACAAAAAATAGTAAGGCAGTGGTGTGTGCAGTTTCATAATGTATTTCAGTGTTGTTCTGTATCAGTTAAACAAGGTGCCATGTATCTGTGGTGCTGTACTTTCTGCTTCTGAGTTGTTTCTGCCTTGTAAGACCTGAGAGATTCTGCCCTGACACTTTGACAGCAGACTGCCTAAGGAGTTCCTTCCCAGCTACTTGTCCTGCTACTTTTCTCATAATTATCCCAATTCAGTTGTTTCTATTCCATATAAAAATTCTGAAGTGTATGTTTGGAGAAGGCCCTCTCCTTCCCTTCCTTTCTCCCCCCATATAAAATTAATACTATCACAAACTTGGCTCGACCATGGCAATAGAACTGAGTGCCTTACACAAATGAGGGAGCAGTAACTTCTGGCCACGTGGACATGGGGGGGATGAATGGGAGGGAGGTGGGAGGAAGGAAAAGAAAGAAAACTGAAGTCTCTGAAATCATATTGCTGCAAACTGAGCTACAACTGAAACATGCAAACTTGATGTGCTGGCACTACCTGAGTAATCATGCAGTCTTGCTGTTGGTTAGATTCTTTGTCTTCTCTCTTTATGACTAGCTGGACTCTTCATCGTAACAAGATGCTTTTGCAGGGTCTATATAAGTACTATACTTGCTCTCTTCTAAAACCAATCTGTAACTTCTATTACTCCACTTAAAAAACCTCTTTTCCTGGCAATTCGCTTACAAGTCTTTCTGTTTTCCAGAAAATGTTTCAAGTTTTGTGCATTTATCTCTGAAGACTCATTTCTAGAGTACCTCTGTAGGTGCTAAATGCTCTAAATTGAGGAAATGCTTGTTTAATATATTAGGGCTTGTCTGCCTAAGCAAATTAATCCAGGACAAAATGAGGTGTGAATTTTGAAGTGCATGAAGAAATCCTGAGTTAGCTCGGTATGTGGAGGCTTTGTTCCAAGTTAGTGTAATCCACTTTAAGGTTCAAAACAGCTACATGCTCTGAACCCAGAACATTGGCAAGAGGAGTTAATAAGGAACAAGTCTTTGTGTCGGTGACTTTGTGTTGTGTTTTCTTGTGATGCAGTGAAAGGGGACTGATTTCAGGCAGCTAATCATTAAGGTAGCCCTCAGATCTGATCCCTCTGCTGAACTGTGGCAACAATATCCAGGAGGAGAAAGAACTGTAATGAATAGACTTGGAGAGAGCTGGCAGAGTGCTTTTCAAGTCAGTGACAGAGGAGAGAACTCGGTAGCCCATCTGTGCGTGCATGGATGCTAACTAGGTCTGGTATGGTATTTTTTCTGGAAAAAAAAAAATTATCCAGGTTTGGAGCATGGCAAAGAGAAGCTTGTCTTGTAAATGCTGATATTTGTCCTTGTTCTTATTAAGTAAACCCACATGATGGGGAACAGTTCTCAGTTACAATTTTAACCGTTTTATGTAAATAAAACTTCCTTGCCTTAAAATATTTGGCTCAGGATCAGAGTGAAGTTCCTCATAACCTGCATCCCTGTGGGCTGGTGCTTTCTTTTCAGTGATGAAAAATATATTACACTCTCCTGAAGTCAGAGTTCACCAATGCCATTTCCTTTGTAGTCTTTGCCGGTCACATGGTCCTTTTTGTTTTAAATTAATAAAATCCTAAATCTGCATTTAAGAATAACAGTTAACAGACTCTTTCAACAGAAATTTAACCTTGAATTGTTTCCATATGGGATCTTTACTTAAAGCTCTGGCAAACTGTGCCCATGCTTTTGTTTTGGTTTTGTTTTACCGAGGTCCAACTTCTGGGTTTGTCATTCCCCCAGATTTCAGAGTGGAGAGGTTTTTGCTGCCAGATATAACAAGCATGAGGGGCCATTTTTTAAAGAAACAAAAACTTGAACTATCCATCCAGGACGGAAAAGCATGTAGGGATATTAACCCCCATCTCCCAACTATTCTCAAGAGACAGGCATTTGACCCAGAACATGTTAAAATTGTAGCATTAATGTTGAATTAGTGGCATTCTGAAGGAATGCTGAATGTACCTATCTGAATAAATTTACAATTCAAGGGAGTGCAGAATGCCAACCTTCGAGTTCAAAAATCACATTGGACTTGCAAGTCATCTTTTGAGCTCATTTCTTTGTCACTTGCCCATATAGGATAATTAGCATCACATACTGTTGCAAATTTCTGTGCAGCAACTGATTTATTTTGTACCTTGCTCCAGGAGCGTTCTGTAGAGAAGTGAATTGAAGTTTAGGGTTTGGCTTTTAACAAACCCCATTGTGAACCAGTGTCTTATCAAAGAGATTGCAACATAAAGAACGTATGATTAACTGAGCTGGGACTTTCCGTGTTTCTTATGTTAGGAGATGTTTGATCTCTGGTAAACTTCATAACATTTGCATTCAGGTCAAAACGGTGAAATGTTTTGTTAGCTCACTAGCAGTGTTCTGGGCCATCAGTTGCCTGAGCGTTGCTTTTGTGGCAACCTCAGTCAGTGGGACTTGCTTTCAAGGGAGAAAGTTCTTGGGATCCTACCCAGAATAACATTTTTCATTCCTTGGATTGGCTGGCAAAAACCTCCCATGCAATGTTGTTTACAATACAGAGCTTGCATCTCTAGTTTTATATGGACAATGCAAATTAACCAAGTTTAGATACAACAAATGCATCAATAAACTTGTTAGCACAATATTGCAGTTTACCTTTTGCTATCTTTGTCATTTAAAAAAATCCAGTAAGTCAGAAATGGTATGCTAACACAACTGTTTTTTTCATACTGAATGATGCGTAAAGAGGAGTCAAACCTCCATGTCTATTTTTTTCTGCTTCAGCTTTACTACCTCCAGGGAGGGAGGAACACTGTTCTTGTTTTTTCTCTCTATGAATAGTCATGGCTTTCGGCGGGGGGGGGAGGGGGGCTGTGAAATTTGAGTTAGTATTGCTGGATATTATGATCCTGCCTCAGAAATGGAGTAATCGAGTGGGTGCAGAGTCACTCTCAGTTAAGTGACCAGTGCTGCTCGCTTGGTCTCAAGACTTCTGAATGCTAAAATCTAAACCAAATCCCATGCACCTCTGAAGCTACGGACTTCTAGCACAGTAAAATCTTACTTAAGTAAAACGGCTGTCAGAGTAGTCTGCAGGCATGCAAAAAGGAAGATGTGCTGATAACTTGCTTGTATCTGTCTCCTCTGCTGATCTACTGTGGTCTCTTTCTCAGGCTTTAAAAGAAATCGATGAAGTTGGGGACCTTTTACAACTGAAATATTCCCGTCACCGTTTGGTACCTCTCTTGGACCGGCCATTTGATGAGACAACATATGAAGAAACAGAAGACTGAACTCCCTCCATGTGCCTTGGTGGGAGGGACACACCCCGTGGGACACTCTGTGGCGCACAGGCCACAGCATCCATGAACAACACACTTATGACTGCTTATCAGACATTTCCTCACAATACTGAAGTGGCCACATCAGCTCTAAATGGCATTTTGTAAATAGGGAGATGAGAAAAAAAAGCTTTGATTCCTGTGTCTTCGGGGTCTGGCCCTAGAGGTGCTTGGCTTTATTTTTTCTTGGTTTTTTTTATTTATTTGTCTCAATGAGTTCACAGCAACCCAAGTTGGCTGTGCCTGATCAGCTCAGACTTTGTATGCACCATTACCCTCCCAAATGCTGGCTGAGATGAAGTGAGCATGTGTGACGCTGGCATGGCAGCATTTCCAGTGTCACTGCTAGGTATCTGACCTTCCCAGTAAAGAGCGAGCTGACCTGCCTGTTCTTGGAGACTTCCTAGAGAAACTGCTGATTGCTAACTTTGACATATTTAACAAGATAGATAATCAACCAAATTTTTTTTTCTTTTGCAGTTACTTGTGTTTAAAACTTGAATTTAGCCTTTTTAAAATAAATGTTTTGTTGACATGTCACTGACAGGACCATTGTTCCCAAACATTATTTAGTTTTTTAAGCCACAGGCAGAAGGACTTCTGGAACTCTAGTCTCTTTTCCTTCCCAGTATGGATTCCAGATTGTCTCCTTGTTTTGACACTAATTGTCCTCTTGATATAGGGTAAATGATAGAGAGGGGGGTTGTTAATTTTTTTTTAAATGGGCTGTGTTTTGTCTTCCTTCTGACGTACTTCTGGCTAAAAAAAAAAAAAAAAGGTGGGTTTAGTGTGTGTTGCTTTCTCATCTTCAGGTTAATTTCTCTTGCTTTAGAATTATCATAAAACCATGAACAAGTCACTGCTAAGTTCTACAAGAGTGCTCTTGGGATTAAGTAAACCATAGCCAGCCTTGTGCTTCTTAAGACCAGAACCCGTCAGTAAGCAGGCCTAGACAATGGATGACTATTAGGAGAACCACTTACTTCATGCAGATCTGTGAAAGACTGATTGCTATCTTTTGCCACACTATTTCACTCTTTCTCATCATATATGAGGTGTTCTTCATTGGCCTTGTTGTGCAAGGCTTTTATGCAAAGAGTGTAGACAGCTTGACTCTTGTATCATACATTACATTTTGTCTAGCCAGCAAAGTTTTGGTTGGCAGCTGCATATCTGTGTAGGCCTTCCCTGAAGAAAGAATGTCCTCACAATTGCATTTAGTTTGAGATCTTTATTCTTTTGCATTTCTGTTACAGTGAGATCAAATTAATGTTCACTGAGCCAGTTGCTGTTTGGAATCTTTATATGCAAGTTCCACACTGTCTTACTCTGATCAGTTTTAAATAGACACCTTTGCTCTAGCACACCTTAGAGGTGGTCTGCTACTTAGTCATTGCATCTTGAATTATTTCAGTGAACAGAATGGATCATTGAAGAGGTACCAAAAATTTTGTAACAGCAGTCAGTTGCAGTATAGTTTGTTTCTGTATTTTATACCTTGGACATGTAGGGTTTCTGCAAAGATAGCAAAGCTTTAACATTGTGTCAATTGGGTTGGGCCAGCTCTTCAATTTGGGTTACAAAGTGCTTTTTGCAGGTGGCTGGATTTTTTTTAAACAGATTCCTCATAATGCTAAGGCAGAGTGCAGCTCAAAGCTATTTGCCTGGTGCTGCAAAAATAGTAATAATTTTTTTTAAGTTCTTTTATGTTGACTCTGCAACTAACAGGGAAGGAGCACTTTGGTCAATAGAAGCAAGCAGTTCTGCAAATACATCTGGTGATTTAAAGCAGAATTGGCTTCTATTTTATAGAATATCTGTCTTCATGCATTTATAGATCTTGTTGCATTTTAACGTAACAGAACTTCAAAACACTGATTCAGCTTTTACCATTGCATTTCAGAAATTTAATTAGATGAGAAGAAGTAAAATTGTCTGTTTCAAAATAAGTCCAGGTAACTGTTTCTGTCTTAGTCCACTAATGTTGATTTGCTTGCCTTCTGGAGCAAAGTGTGCGCACTGTCCAAGAAGTCTGTAACCTGTATGTGCAACTCTGATAGCTATGGAGTAGTCTCATTTATTCAGCCACAGAGTGAGTCAACTGCAATTACATGAGCTTACTTTCTCACCTGTGTTCTGCCCAGGACTAGCTTTAGCATTCCACCAGATGACCTGCTTTCTGACTTCAAGAAGCTTTACCTCAAAGAATTATTGCTTTTTTACTTTCTGGATTGTAGTAGGGAACAAGAGGAGGTTCGTGCAGAAAGCTTTGACTCTAGCCCTGGTCCTGTTGACTTGATCATGGAATGGTTTAAGATCAAACCAACCAACTTGAAGGCATGGGCACAGGTCACTAAGGAGCTGTTTTGAGCACTCCCAGACGTACAGCATGCTAGTGTCTGCTGTGTAGTCAAGTCAGTTTGAAAACTGTGATATATTAAGTTAGAAGCGGATTATCGTAGATTCTACCAGTCTCAAGTCTTAATCTTGTCTCTGGGATTCAGTTTTAGGGCAGTTTGTCTTTAGAAGGGAGAAAAACATCTGGATAAATCTCAGTAATTCAGGTAACTCCTGTATAATGCTTCTGAAATTGTCAGTGTTTGAAAATTACTGGCCCCCATTGGGATTCCAGTTGCACTTGCTGAGGAAATCGTGTTCATGCTAAAACTTCTACCATTTAGTATCTTTCTGCTATGTCACGCTGTCTGCATATGACTTTAAATTCTGGGTTGCAAAGACATTTCAGAAATCATTCGAGCAGTTAGTAGCATTTGCAAACTGCTTGGTTACATTTCAGCCCTGCCATATCCATTTTGGGAAGCAACTTCCCACCCCCCCGGGAGGCCTTTTATTCAAGGGAATGTGTTTTGCCAAAGTCTGGTACCTGTTGAAACTGCTTCTGAAAAAGAAAGAAGTTACAAATCCAAGATTTTGCACTTTTAAGTCAGTAATTCACCAAGCATGAAAGCCAGGAAAATCTTTTCACATCCACTAAAAAACTCTGCTCCCACAACCCAGGAGGGGTTGGGACCCCTCCAAGAGGGAGGACCACTACGGGTTTGTACTAGGCAAACCTACAGCATGTGTGCTGTCATGGTATATGTAGGATGGATTGCTGCTTTGATATTTATGTACTGACCAGAAATCTGTCTCCTTTTTGTCCTGGCGGTAGAAGTGAATGAAAGAACCAATCTTGAGAGATCACAAAGGAAGAAAAGCTGCTTAAGAAATAGACTTCAGTCCCTGCCAACTTTTCTGAGACATTCTAATTGAAAATGACTCCTGGTATGTCTTGAGATGCAAAATTCAAAAGAAAATGAACGCTGCTTTTGAACAAAGGATTTTGCCTTGTACTGTACATTGGCTAAACTTACTCATAAATATACAATAGTTACCTTCCCAGTACCTCTCTGAAGAACTTAGCGAGCAAGATTTTGCTTCTGCTGAGTGGAGTGAAGAGTTTAAAACCATTATAGTTTTCAAGGCTGATGGCCATATTCTTTTACTCTTAAGAAAATTGAGAAGCTCCTGTTACTGAGCATCAGTGAAGAGTGAGAGATCTGTTTCTTCTTAGAAGCTTAGCCTTCCAAAGTAGACCTTTGTCTTAAGGAGCCTGATTCATAATTTTTCTTTAGTTCTTTGGCAGAGAAGAAACCAAGGGATTTTTTGTCAAAATATTCAGGGCTTTTTTTTTTTTTTTTAACAAGACACAAACTTTTGTATAGTATCTGTGTATATGGTATATTTAAATCTTTGTTTAGTTTCTATATTTTTTTTCCCTTCTAAGCATCCTTAAAGAGCTGTTCTGGTTCTTGGGTTACTGGTGTAGCACACTTCTGCTTTAGGCAAAGACTCGGGAGTGAATTGACTGAACATCTTACCATGTTGAAGTCCTTCAGTGAAAGAATTGCATCATCCATCCTTCTCTTGCTCTTTCCTCTAAGAGTGCAGAAGTGGTACCCACTGTCAAAGCTGTGCCTTCACATAGAGGAGGAAAGGGAAGTGTGCCCGTGATATCAGTGACCTAGCCCTGTGCTGCATGGGTGAAGGACCAATACAGCAGAGATGGAGAAAAGAGGCAGTCAGTCATCATTTATTCTCAGCTGTGCAGGGATCTTTCATGTGTACTTGAACAAGCATCCCTAAGGCAGGAATGCAACTTTCAATGTCCAGAGGGACACTCATCTAAAACTTCTCTACGCCAAGTAAATACTTCCTCTCCTGTGCAAATTTTCACAGAGAAGGAAACTTGTGGAGATTTATCCCAATATACAATGTTCAGCCAAAATTTGTTCAGTTTATATATATAATTTTTACAGTTTATACTCTGCCTGTGAAAGTGTCAAGCATGCTGGGATCTGTGTGGGTGGCACCTTCTGTGCAGAGATCTGAGGTACTTGCGGTCTGTTGTAACACTGGTGAAGCACTGAGCTGTCTGGGAATGGCTAGTACGAGACCTCGGGAGGTGCCTTGCTGGCTCTGGCGCTGGACCTGGCACCCAAGTGGCATTGGACCGCTTTGGGAAAAGCACCAGTCATTTGACCTGTGTAACTTGAACATGGTTTTAAAAGAAAGAAAAAAGAAACAAACAAAAAAACCCACTCAGATGCCATTGTGATGGCTTGTATTCCTGTAAACATTCCCAGCCTTGCAGTTGTTCACCTGTTCAAGGATTTGGACATGAAGCTAGAGCACAACCATGAAGTGTTTGTGTGAAGTATTGTGCTTTATCTTTCACTAAGAAGAGAAGTGTTTGGTGCAGACATTGGAGCTGTTGTGTTTACGTCCCCAAAAGGGGCTGAGTGAAGGAGGTGATGACTGTGGTGTGTGTTGAAGGCATTAAACTGTGACTCTTGGTATGAAGAATTGAAATTAAAACTGACCTTGAAGAATGCAGTGGATTTTAACCCATGGAAGAATACTCTGTGCTCTTAGTTAAGCAATATGTACTGCTGTTTTCTTGGGAGGGAGGGAGAGGTTCAGCTCAATTTGTATTTGACCCTGGCTAGCAGCTGTTTAAGGAGCAAGGAGGTGTCTGTATGTGAAGGCCAAAAATAGTGTAGTTCTCTGCACCAATGTTCCTATGCAGCAAGCATCGGTAACTTGTTCCTGGGCTGCTGTAAGTGGGAGAATTATTGAGAGGATCAGGGACTTCAGAAGGTGTGGCAGCTAGCAAATTAATTTCATCAATAGTAGGTGAACAGGTCTCACTTAAGTATGCCAAGGGTTGATGCTGTTCCAAAAATACCCATGGCGAAGTGAAACATGCACCAAACCATCTGACTGCTGTAAAGCATTCTTTTTTTTTTTTTTTTTTTTTTTTTTCAAAATCTCATCCTATTCAGACAGTATTTCTGCTACCCCCTAACGGTATATTAAGCTAAATGCATTTTTAACTTCAGACCAGTTTGGGAGAGATCAGAGGAACGTTGGAGCCTGAGGCTTTAGGCTAACAGCCCTGAAGCCAATGGTGGCCCACATTTCCACAAGCCCTGGGCAGAATTACCAAGTCACAGCACTTCGTCTTAAATTGCACTGTA